AATGTTTTTCTATTCATGCAGTGTACGAATCAAATTTAACTGTACTTCAAGGGAGCCAAGAGATTTATTGGCTTTTTGGAAAAGGAGTTAAGAAGCATCACTTTGTGAAACCAGCGGAACCTGAACCGAACTGACACGTTTTGTGTAATGTAAAAGAAAGAAAAAAGTTCACACGGCTGTTTCAAAATAAATTTAATGTTTTGGACTACAGTGCACTGTTTGTTTTGACTTGTCACGTATTGACAGACATGGTTCGAGTCATCGAGGGTAAAATTAAATAATAAAATGACCTAAAGGGAAACGAAAATTGCTTCGAGTTAGCGGGAGGTTCGAGTTAATTATCGAGTGTTCGAAGTTACCTGAGGGTAAAATTACTGTAAATGTATGACGGAAATCCAGGGGAAATCGATTTTGGTTCGAGTTAGTGACTCCGTAAAAACTGAAATCTTAATTTAAGATTTTTCGTCTTACCTTGAACTGAACAATAGCTGACAACTTACGGCAGCTTTTGTACTGGTGCTGAGGTAAGACGAAAAATCTTAAATTAAGATTTTAGTTTTTACGGAGTTCCCTAGTTCAGATTAAAGTTAAATTGCCGTAATCAGAATTTGTGAAGGGCTTTTGTTGGTTTTCTTTTCGATAATGCTGAAAAAGTGGCTTCTTCTTAAAAACATACCCATATCAAGACTAGAGTGCAAAAACCATACTCTATTTATGACCAAAATGGCCAAATAATAAATAAGAGTGGCCAGTGCCATACTCCAGGCTCCTTGAAAATTCAAAACCCAAAATAAAAAGATGAAACAGTGTCACAAAAGCTAAGGTGTTTTATCGCTTATAGCGTGAAAGATTTTGTAAATAGGGTAAATCTGATGCATGTGCATACGATTTCGCAAAAAAGAAAATCTTCGGTGATGCATATCTATTGGGAATAAGTATTTCTGTATAATGTACTACAAGAGCCAGCAACTTAAATAACCATAAAGGATATTGCTTTTTACCTGATACGCATATGCAAATATACGTTATGTACCGCAAGGACTGGCAACTTAAGGTGATTCCCTAGTAAAAAAACCCGCCATAGATTTCCGATGAAACTTGGTATGCTGTTGTTACAGGACAAGGAGATATTAAAAATGTAACAAAAAGAGGGGCCACCGTGTTTGTTTTCACGCCACAATCCTGACAAATACGGTTATTTAGGTGACTTTTGGCAATCTCCTTGTGCAACAAATAAGCTCGATTATTCTTCAATGCCGCGTGTTATATTACACAGAGTTTGACTTTCTTTGATTGTTTATTCCTCTACGTCCCAGAAAAAATGTGTTCAAATACCCTGCATTTTTTTGTCCTTTATAGGAAACATAATTTGGATATGCGCTGCTGGGCCCGTTATGTCTCCCTCTGTAGTATTTATTTCATTTGCCAAAAAAAGTAGCCATAGGTTTCTGCTATTTTTTTTCTCAGTTATTGAGGATATTGTTCTCATTGAAATTATGAAATAAAAAGTGGGGG